AGACGTAATGGGAGGCTGATCGATGCCCACGTGCGGTCAAGGGATGGCCTCCCTATTGGTCAACCATGTTGCGTGTGCTGATGATCTGGTCATTGCTGCTCACTCCGAGCAGTTGGGGACCCTACTGCTAAACTTCAAACATTGTACTAAGAAATGGGACCCTACTATACACTGGTCAACAAAAAAAAAAGTTTTTTTCTGGCCTGAACTTTTGCAGCTGTTTTAGACTAATTTCAGGGTGCTGATTCCAAATCTGATCTCAGATTTGCTCTATCACATCTCATTTTTAAATCCTTTATATTAAGTTCACTTGCTTGCTTGCGCGCTTACGACCGTGCAAATCTTTCGGTCGTTTTTTAACCCACTTCCCGTGATCCAATCGAGCTGACATTTTGCACAGACTCGTTGTGCGTGACAATTTATTTTCCAAAATTTTACACTTTTTAGGAAAAATAAAATTATATTTAATTACCAATTGCTTAATGGTGGCAGGCAATCATCTGACCCATAGGTGGCAGCCATCTCAAGCCAGAGGACGAGAGGACTCTAGCCGCCCGTTTCAAAAACCAATGTGGGCTGGGTTGTGGCCCATTGAACACGCATATAAAGGATTTATAGTGAAAAACTTTGTTTTTACGAGTTAATCTTTTATGCTATCGGCATACCCCATTTTCATTGATTTTACCCGAAATTAACTCTGTCACTTATGATCGCAAGTTGTTGCGAGTCAGTGACTGCTTTAGTGTTAAAATATGGTGCTGTATTTTTAGGATGGTGTGTTTATAATATCATTTTATGTAGATATCCACATTTATTTTATATTTTTCTTCTGCAGTTTTTTATTGAAAATGCAATATTTGATATCTAAAAAACCTGATGTGATAGACAAAAACTGATGCCAGATTTGGAATCAGCACCCCAAAATTACATTTAAACCGTTGGAATAACTTATGCCAGAAAAAGTGTGTTGACCAGTGCTATCAGCCCGACAAAAACATGCCAAGGCCACTTGCATGCCCAGCCACTGCATGTCCAAACAGCTTCTGTTTGGCCGGATGAAGGGGACTAAACGGCCACTGCACGGGCTTGGGAAAATATGGACTCTAACTTCTTCTTTCGCACCGTACGTAGGCAAACGTGCTAATCGGCAATGTCGTGCGTGTAGTGGTGTAACGTTGTGTGTGTGGGTGAATGAGTGGGTGAGTGAGTGGATGAGTGGCGCGGGCTCGAGAAGAGGTGGGCTGATGCGGTAAAGAAGAAGGATGTGGAGCTCATATAGGACACGACGATGACTCTCACCAACGGTGTAAAAAGACCGGCCTATGTGAAGGAGGCTCGTAAAGAGAGCTAATGGGCACAGTCGCCCTCCAAACAACGGAGGGCAAAACAACAGGCAGCTTCAAGCAAGTTGCCACATTAGGGTGCACAGCTGGTGCATCTCTGCCAGTCATCTCCGTAAGTCAACCCATGGCACCTGAGGTCTTATCCTCCTGTCAGCCAGCCTTCGACACTTCACGTGGCCTTGCGGCGCGCCTAGGTTGGCACAAGCGCCCTGGTGACGGTATCACCATTCAGTGGAGAACAGTGGTTGTTGAAGGGGGGGGGGGGGATTACCATAACTTCACTGTGCTGGTCAGGCTGAGTTGGTGAAGGGGCGAATACAGGACCAGTTGCTGCTGCCTTGACACTTCCCCACCATTGATTAAAAAACAATAAAAAGTGTAAGTTTAGTTTAAATTTATAATAAAAAGTGTGAAGTTTAAAGAGCCACCAGCCGTCACTGGTTTTGATCTGTCGACCACAACCGCGATTCACCACCCAATCCCTCCGCACACGAATTCCACCTTTCCCAACAGTAACCGCAAGAGACTGCAGTACACGACGGCGACTGACCCAGATATGTAACACGTCAGATAAGTGGACATCTCTAGACGATTAGTTACACGATGTACTGAGCGGTGCATTCGGTCGGAGCGGATGTGACGGTCGGATATGCGACGTTGTGTAATGAACAACGTTCTAAACTGTGGATGAAGGCTGACGCTGCCTCTCTTGTAAAAGTAAACCATGTCCTCCGGGCTAAACTGCACGCAGGATGACTTTGCAAAAAAAAGCCACCTGACGTCATGTGACGGTCATGCGACGCCCTATCTCGTGAGATAGCATTGCCAAGAGGTAATCCGTAAAACATTCGCGATTGAAATGTAACGCGAATGCACTTGGCAACGTGCTACCAAAACGTCCTCGTAAAAAAAAAGAATTGTCCTAAATGTATCGGCGTTCTTTGGCGCTCAGTGAAAGTAAAACAAAAGCACAGTGTATGTAATGTTCCATTCATTTGCCAATACAATTTACAATACTATACATACGATTCACATATCAAGACTGTGTACAGAATCACTGGGCATATTTGTAACATATTACATAGTCGGTATCAGAATCTTTATTTATATTAGAGGAATCCGATGAGCTATAGAGCTCTTTTTCGCAGATGTCCAGTAACCAAAATAACAAGTAGAACATTGTTTTCGAATTCGTTAAAAAAAGAAACCAAATTTTTTTTTTCTTGCCGTGGTTTTCCCACCTAATGATGATTGCTTGTGTTGCAATCGAAACGTCGTGATTTGTTTTATGTTATTTCTAACTACGTGACTTTACCGAAAGAACCAAAGAGTATGGATTCCTACAAGTCACGAAAGCTTCAAATCAACCCTCAATATTTCAAGAGCCGCAATGCACGTGTTGAATACGAGGCAATGGTGGTCCTCAATAAATAACGTCTCACGAAGCGGTCCTTAAAGAGCTGCACGCGGCTCTGGTTTGCCGACCCCAGGCATGGTCTCGAGTCTGGACTTGTACAGGGGCAGGGGGTCCACAGCAGGAATTTCTGGGGGGAAAGGCGTTCCAGACTACAGTACTTAAAAATCAACGTTGTCAATGTCATCATGAAATGGTGTTTTGGATTTGAAGGTATCGTCTTTCCACATGCTTCAAACCTGCAATTACCTAGCCCTCTTGCTCTCAATTGAAAGCGTTTCTTCCGTGTTGAAATGAACGTGAAAAAGCACGAACCTCCACCGGTGGTCCTGGGTCAGTGATGAAAATTCAACATTTCCTTCGCAGGGGCCAGTCTATCAATCGCACGATGGCTGGGTTTACAAAGTGACACTCATTTATTGACCCTGAGTGAAATTATTAGCTGAATAAGATTACACCCTGGGATTGAACCCACAACCTTAGCGTTGGTTTTATGAATGGGCTCGAAAAGCACCGTTGACAAAAAGAGATTTACAATCTTAGAAAAAAAAAATCAAGTTCTGGGTCGATACCCATTTCTTGAAGAGAAACCCCTGAAAATTAAACATTTGTTTAACACGCGTGGCTTGAAACGCATTACACAACATCTGCCCTTGTGGTGAACCCCAACCAATCAGAACACCGAGACCCTTGCCCTACATTCCACTTTTATAACCTACATTCTAGAAAGTTCCACGGTCTCAGCTCAGCCAAGGGAGGGGGGTTATAAAATCGGTACCACTTTGTGTATCGTCGTCATTGAGCTGAGCACTCAGCCACCTGAGGTCGATTCACGGCCAGGGCTACCGTCAATGGTGAATGTTTTCAGAACCCATCCTAGGAATCTTCACCAACTCCATTCCCCGTGTCGTGCGGTCAAACAACCCCCACGACCGACGGACACAGCGTGGAGGCGTTCATATAGCAGTGGAAAGACAAAGGTTGTGATTGTATTAAGGAATCGCTGGTCATGTCATACGAATGTGGAATTTCTATGACTGGCCAACGAAGGTGAGCACATTGTGTAAACAGCAATGGTTGTATTATGGAATAACTGGCCCTGCCATAGGAATGTGGAATTTCCACGAATGGCCAATTAAGTGGAGCAGTCTGTGGGGTCAGAAATGGTTGTTGTATAATAACTGACCCTGCCATAGGAATGGGGAATTTCCACGAATGGCCAATTAAGTGGAGCACTCTGTGGGGTCAGAAATGGTTGTGTTGTGTAATAACTGACCCTGCCATAGGAATGTGGAATTTCCACGAATGGCCAACGGAGATGAGAATTGCTTCAGATTTTCTCGAGCAGGTTATGTTACAGCCTATGACTTTTTTTGACATTGGACTCAACGTTAACAAAGCAATGGCCCTACCCTGGATAACCCCCCCCCACCCCAATCCTGACCACGTGCCCCGGTCACGCGCGCGGTTGCATCGCGATGAGATCATCCTCCTCAATAGATTCCGATTCCATTAAAATTGATTGACCGGAATCGTTGAATCGATTCCGGAACAAATTAAATAAGAAAACCAGAAATTGTTGCGGAACACCTTTGTTATTTGTTCCGGGTTCACCTCTCAGCTGCCTCGCTATAATATTAATATCATAAAAGCAGAGTTTAGTGTACACAGCGCGTTCGAACCGTTGTAAATACTTCGATTACAACCGCAACAACGACACGCCTGGCAGAATCGAAATCGAGACGGCGCCGCGCAATGGCGACGCCGGATTGCGTCAAGGCTGCCACGTGGCCTTTAAAGCGCGTGATGGACCCGAGACACTCCACGCGCATGCGCACGGGGGTCACGTGACGTTGTGGAAGTAAATTGAGGAGGGGGGGGGGCTTTGGGGGGTGTAGGGGAGGGGCGAGGGTGGTTGGTCGGGGAGGGGCGCATGGGGGGGGGGGAGGGGCTTGTGGGGGGTGCGGTTGGGCAGACAGGGGAGGGGCACGTGGGGGTTGAGAGCATTGGTAGTTGGGCGGGAGGGGAGCGTAGGGGGGGGGGTAGTTGGGAGGGGTAAGTGGGAGGGGCGAGGGCAGTTGGGCGGGAGGGGAGGGGCTGCGTGGGGGAGGGGTTGGACGGGAGATGGGCGAGGGGTGGGCGTGGTTTAGCAGGAGGGGAGGGGCTGCGTGGGGGAATTTCCCCGTGGCGCGTGACGAGGTGACGTCACCGCCCACCGGCTTCTATATAAAGGAGGGGCACGGGCGGTTACGGTTGCGCAGTCGGAGTGACCCTCCCCTTGTGTGTGTGGGTACCGTAGGGCTGCTGCTACTGCTGCCGCCACTGTTGTTTCCCAGCTACTGCTAACATCCCACGTCTTCGGACAACACAGCCCTCGCTCGCTGTACCATGTACTGCTATACAGCCCGTCGCAGATGTTTTATTCGCGATCGCCAGGACACGAGAGAGTACTCGATTCGAGCGGTGAGTTAACGCTGTGTGTAAACTGTTGATGCGTAAGGGCACTGTTGTTGTTATGTGGTTCGGGGCCCAGGTGTTTGTGGTGTTGTGTGATGGCTGTTATCGATGGTGGTTGTGTGCATTTCAGTTGTAATTCGCTGCTGTCAAGGCCAGTTTGCTTAATGTCTTAATTATTGTGAGTGATTAATTTTAACAACGCATGAACTGTATGCGTTGATGCATATACTGTTGGTTATGTCCATGTTTTGGTGTGATGATTGCTGTCATTCTGTCCATAGTGGATGTGTGTACACAGATGATGGTTTGATGGGAGGCAGTTGTATTTTAAAGGGGTGACAGGGGCAGGGTTTCTTCATTTGGGCTTAAATGAAAGTGGGGTTCTGTATGTAGGTCAAGTTGCATAACCCTCTCCAATCGCGTTTGGTGTTTTGCAGCACATTCTAAATGCGTCTCCTTTGGCATATTGGCAGTCCGAATGTCTTTCCATTCGGATGCAATGTTTTTTTTTGTTATTTTTGTAAGGATTTTAGTAGTACTGTGATTATATATGGATGTAATTATTTTAATTGGTTTTACATACATTGGTAGAATTTCAGCTATTGAAATGAATGGATATTTAACTGGTAAACAGACCGTTTATGTCATCCTCATAATAACTAGTTGAAAGATTATATAATGTTTTAATTACCTCTACAATTTACTGATTCCGTGGCAGCTTGTCGTGTATTATCTATATCAGATATGGTCGATATACTTATCTTGATTTGAAGCTTTCGTGACTGCAGGAAAGTAACGTAGATATAAAATTAACTAACAGATCACGACGTTTCGATCGCAACACAAGCAATCGTTCTCAGGTGAACAAATACAGCGGTCGGACTGCAGAGGCAGAAAGAAATGTAGCGAGAGAGCTAATGTTTTATATTATTTCTATGTGCAAAGTTATCTGTGCATCAAATGTATTGCACGGGATATATTTCATTATTTATTCTCCAAATACTTTCCTTTAATCAGACTATTTTAATATTCTCCAAATACTTTTCGCTTAATCTAAATGTGCATTTATACTGCAGGAGGAATCCTATTATCTATCAAGTTCTTTGCCCTCCCCCACTGATGTCCAGTTATTGTCACGGTGTCAGAACATCACAGCAACAAACTAAACACAAGCAGTTCTAAATAAATCCCGGCGTGTACAGGCGATGGATCCTTCCACTGCAGGAACCATAAGAGATGGAAGGTGGCTTTAGGGAGGCCTTCATCCAGCAGTAGGTAGACCACTGCTCGTAATGACTGATGATTGGGAATGGGGTAGTGTAGAAATTGTACGTGGAGGAATAGGATGAGTGTGTATGTACCTGTCAATCCAGGTAAATTTAGGTTCTCAAGTCCATGTGACATACAGCCCTTTAAATGCGGGAAAAACACTTTTTTTGTCTTATTTGTGTGTGTTTATTCCGTGTGATGGAGCTTTGTAGGATGGACGTTGAGATTTATAACGGGCACGGGGGTGACCAATAAGATCTGAATTGGTCTGTAATAAGCTAGGGCACTGGTAAAGAGTTGACAGGTATGGGCAATAATTAGCGAATATTTGAATCTGTGGCCTGTCCCCTTAGGCCAGGGGTGGGGAACCTTTTTTCTGCCAAGGGCCATTTGGATATTAATATAACATCATTCGCAGGCCATACAAAATTATCAACTTAAAAATTATCCCGTTATATTTTAGTCAAACATTTAATTAACTCGCCCCTAATGTGAACGCTTGAACTGCTTCTCTTTGGCGAGGCGTGTGATGTTAGCTGGTGTTGATGATGATGTTGCTACTCGCAACTGCTTTTCCAGGTTTGCTCCTAGATTTATTGATTTTCGAGTCCTGCCTGCGGTTGCCTCGGCAGGGCCACACCAAATGATTTCGCGGGGCCTTCTACGGCCCACGGGCCGGACGTTCCCCACCCCTGCCTTAGGCACAGGATGCCGGTTCAAACACTGAGATGGGGTCGAGCCAAGATAATTACGTCAGGAAGTAGCGGAGAGCGTGTATGGTGGGGAGGGTGTTGCTGCCTTTACGGTGACATATTTGTCACGAGCGCCCAGTGACTTACGAAATATATGAATATTTCGTTACCCGCTGACTGTGGTGGGCTTTTTAAAGAAGATGCCCCCCCCCCCTCGTCCTCCATGGGGGGGGGGGGGGGGCTCACGACAAGCCACAGGCTTCCCCTGGCTCTTCGTGTTGTGCGGGGTAATTTCGCAGAGTCACGCTGCCGTCACTTGGCAATGGGGAAGTTGGGAGAGGCAGAAGGCGCGGCCAAAACAGCTGACACTGGTCACTCGTGTTGTATAAGCCACGCGACTTGCTACAAGTTGAAACCGCCTCGGAGGATCCATTAAATGTGTGGTGTTGCAAAACGTGAACACGCATTGAAACCCACATCGAATGCAATGCACAGCGTGTAAAAACACACGAGTTGATTTCCTTAAGAATTGTTGATCCATTGTGTTTGGTAAAGTCATGTAAATGGAAAACTAAATTTTTTATTAAAATAATAACATTTAAATAATAAATATAAAATCATAAATTGAAAATGATATAAGCAAAAAACCCATGACGTTTCGATCTCTTGGCCTCGTTTTTAAAACGCTTGACAATCCCTTGATAGGGTTTTTATTGTATCTGCCCACAGATGGCTACACGGTGAACTTAATTAATAATTCACTCAAACCGTTAATGTAAAACCAGATTTAAAACCGTTTATTCGACCCTCAAGCATTGTAACCCACTGCAATCTGATGTTATATTACTGGTCAGGGTGGTTAGCGCTCTGCTAATTTCCCCTACAACCTGAGCTCGATTCCCGGCCACGATTGTCACGTCACGTCAATGGCCACGTGCATCAGGTGCAGGGGAATAACGTTTAGTTTGTCCTTGAGCCGCACCTCCGATGAGCACGGTTGGCTACGTACGGTGCGAAAGAAGTTCTGCAAGCATACATTGCCGGAGTGCTTTAAATGTTTAAATGGAAAATAATGAAAAGGAAAGTGCCAGCGCATTGGTGATCATCTGTAATCTTTGCTCGGGGAAAACAAGATGGCCTTTCTGTATTTGGGTATTTAAAAACTGAATGCTGTAATATCCCACTGAATTTGTGTGCGTGTTTTGTCGTCCCCGCCCCCTTTCCCCACCAGAAGAGACCGTGGCGCATCAATCAAACGCATTGTCATTCCCGAACTACCAAGCGCAATGCAGGCTGAGTTCGGCTACGACGCGACACGCAGCCTTTTCGGCGCAAACATGCCCACCCACGAGTGGTTCCAGAGCACTGGCACGTGCGGGAGCTTGTGGGACGAGCACTGGGCTGACCCGCTGGGGCCCCAGGGACCCGCACACGATCCCAGTGACAAACCTGGGGAGGTCTCGGCCGCCCCAGTTTGGCACTCGAATCAACGGCGTGCGAGTGGGCGAGTCGCATCACTCTACGGCGACTCTGACCACAACTGCAACATGAAGGTGAGTCGAGTAGTAGGTAGGGCCCTGCATTTAACACATTCCTGCGGAGGGAGCTGGTAGGAACGTTGGGTTGCTCGGTCAATGGCCAGGGTCAACGGCGGCGTGGTGTATTCCGCAAATATGCCCGACTGTAGGCGAACACAAGCCCGCGTGAGTAGGTTAAACGTTGAGTTTTATAAGGGCACCACGGGGTGACCAGCCCCTCCCCACCCAGCCCCTCTCCACCCTCCCCCCTCCACCCAGCCCCACCTCTCCCATTTTTGTATGCAGGACAGACGGACACAATAATCCCCTGTGGGCTGGTGGAACAAGGAGGTTCCTACCAGTATTATTGGTCTAGTGACTGACAGTACTGCCAGACCGTTTCATCTCGTCCATACTACGTTCAATAACCATACGGCAGGTCAAAATACTTATTTCTGCCTATTTCCTTGCACAAAATTGCTCAATTGGGAGAAACGTGTTGCCGATACAACTTTAATAGCGTTGTTTATTGCCCGCCGCTTGAATCTTTCGACCTGTGCTTGGCAACTGATGCTATATATAAAGAACTTGTGACCGTTCACCTCTGGTATGGAATGTTAGTTTTTTGTAAAGCAAAATAAATATCCCATGGAGGTGTCAAATCACGCACTTCTGTGAAGGGTATAGGGTATGTAAACCACAAGACTGAGGAATAAGTTGGTCTGTGTCCACTTCACGTTTAGACTGGCATGGTATTCTGACAGTATCTTGGCCGTCACTACAAGGAACACCCTCTTTTCTTACACCATCTGTTAAAAAGAGCTGTATGGCTCAACGGATTCCTCGAGTATTAATATTCTGATTCTGAAGTGCAGTTAAATTTGCCAGTAATGGGTCTGTTCAGCTGGATGACTGGCCACTGCTAATTTTAAATGTATTTTTAACATGGGCAAAGTGTAATGCAAAGTATTGTGCATTATTAATTTCAATAACAGGCTTGTTAATATATCTCAATTCACGTTCAAATCGCTGTGTATTTGAACATTGCAGTCGCTGGCTATTAAAGTGCACAGATTAACAAAATGCTTGTTTATTTTTTTTTTGATGGAGGATGGCGACCTGAACAGTAACCGCATCACCGATGACATCTTGGACATTTGTGACGCGTACAACAGTGGGCCTCGTCCGTCTGCAAGTGACGCCATAAACTTTAGATCAGAAAGTTCAGTGCAGGTGGGGACACATTTTTCTGAAGACGGAAGTGCCATGAGGCTTGAGAGTGGCATTGATATGTTGCCTTTAACCAACGAGATGTCTTCATTTTGGGATGCTCTGTATGAGTTTGAAACCGATTTCACTGGTGGTGGTGGATCCAACCATGCGTTGAGTGATTTTGTCTTTGAGGACATATCTTCCCAGGGTGCGGGCATCATCGATGCACAACCTACGAGGCCAATAAATTCTGAGAGCCATGGTGGAATGTTAAATGGTGACGAGCAAGCGACAGAAGGTGTGGAATTGGCAGAAGATGTTGGGGAAGCCAATGGTAGCAATCCACCAGCGGCGGCGAGTGGCGATGGCGGTGGTGAAACCGCGTTTGTGGGAAACGCCGATTTTTTGTCACGCGATGCGATCGTCCCCAACGCCAGTCCATCCCGCCTGGAGCGGGATGAGGTGGTGAAAGCTGGCACGAGTGAGGAAAGTTCTACAGGAGGTCGAGAAGAAAGAGGAGGAGGAGGCGGAAAGCGGGTGGTGCGTAGCAGGAAGCGACAGAAGGATACGGGAAAGGAAAAGGAGGGACTCTTGACCACACTTGCAGCAAGGAATAAATATCTTAAAGCCGAAGCCGAGCGTCTTGCTGAGGAAGTGGCTGCAGCCAAACGTCGACTCATCGCCTCCATTGTTGGCTCCCCTTGAAAGATTTCGTGGGTGGAAAAAGAAGCAAGTGTAATTGTCAGACTGGTCATGATTTCACAACTTACATTGGTTTAGTAAAGTTTTAGGAGCGCTAATGGGCATATCGAGAATCCTAAATACCACGAGAATAATTACTCGAACAAGATGTAGAGAAGTTTAAAACAAACATTTGTGACCTACAAGAAAGTTAGCGCACGCATTGGGAAATTGTCTCTCAAATTTGAGTTTTACAAGATGATGGACATCATCAAATAACAGCCTCAGTCTGCACTCTTCACTGTTCTCCGCTGAAAATACCGAAAATTGACGTCCGTTTTTAAGTGGACTTGACCATAGCATGCTTATTTTTAGAACATCGGTTAAGTGTATACTTTTTAACCTACTAATAGCTTATAAAATGAATTATAATTATCACCGTTTACAAGCAAGATCTTTGTAACCCAGTTATGTTGAGTGGTAGGTCTTGTTGGTAATTGCTAATGTTAGTTTTAAAATGTATGCTCATGTTAAAATCCTGCATTTGAATGTCACAACTTAAAAAAAAACTACGGTTCCTTTCACTAAATTTGACCAAGTCTCACTTGTCAAAGATAGTGAATCTCAACCTATCCCAAAAATATTTTGATAAATATTTACTGTTTATGTTAAATATACACGAATCTGTTATACTGTATTAGTTGTATACTGTAGCTATATTAGCCTCTCTTGCATGTTAAATGGCTAAACAATTATATCATTGGCGTTAAGGCTATGGTAATCATCGGTGTTTGATATGTGGTATCTTTATTCATGGTGAACATGTATTCTTAATTACACCCAATTAAACAAACTTGGAAGTAAGAAATGAATGTGATTTTTACTTTTTTTATTGTCAAAAACACAAACAAGGCCCTTTGTCAGTCCACTGCCGAATGAAGGCCTGCACACCGTATCGGTCAAGGGGCGTAGCGACTACTTTATTCGCTTCCCTCGTGTAGCCATCCAAACAAAGACGGTCACCGCATCGCGTGCTTTCAGATGCGCTTCCGCGGCCGTCTGGAATGCTCTTCCCATATAGCCACTGGAGCTATATGCACTTGTAAATGTAGGTTGAAATCTTCTTTTAGAACTGCTTTTTGTGTTTAGTTTATTTTTCTTCCCCCCCCCCCCCCACACCTCCAATTTAGCACGGTTGGCTACGTATGGTGCAAAATAAGTTCTGCATACGTCCGTGTGGGTTGGTGAAGGAGACGGGGGGGGGGGGCATTGGTGCTGATGCCACTCGCCACTGCTCTTAAATCTCCGGTTGCCAGATTCCTAGCGCGGTGCACCACCATCTGCCGTGATACAGCTCCCGCTTGGCACAGTTCTGAAATAATTTAACAGCGGCATTGACCTTGTAGAATTTGGAGGCCCCATTTGGCCTTGCTCATAGGCTAAAAAATATCCGTTGGCAATAAAAAGAACAAGCGCCATTTTTTTCGAATTCGATTTTTAAAAAAATTCCTCTATGCATGTGCATACAAGATGGTGGTCCTTGAGCCGCAGGTTGCCAACCCCTGGGCTAAAATTGAAACGCATGACCACGCACACAGAAACGAAGACGCAACACATTAAATTGGGTACATTACGTCTAAATGATTGTGACTGACAATTAAATTCGAATTATCTTGTTTCAGCGCTGGAATACCAAAAAATTGCACAACTGTAGTCAAGTCTATTTCTAACTGGAAAAAAAATATATGTTGAACGGTTTTTATGGTTTGAAGGTTTGGTGGGGTTCACGCATTGGGCAGAGTAGGCATAGCCTTGCTTCAAATGCCTGTGCTCAACAAACCTATTATTTCCATCGGTGAACCAGATAATGTGTGGTTTTGGTAAGACTGAAATGTGGTGGTTGACACTAAAGCCAATACGTGTAGTGGCAAATTCTTTTCCAGTATTGTCAAATGAAAATCTGTAATAATGTGCAAGATCAGATATAAATATAGGGTAATCTTTGACTGATTTGGTAGCGTTCAAATTTTTAGCTATACAATTTTATAGTCCCGCACTTTGGAATCGGATCGGCCACGCGGGCCGTGTTAAAAGACATCTGTGTGACAAGCGCTTCATAGATCATAGGATTCCTCCAATCGAAATGCATGATTTCTGAAAGTGTTGCCGTCTCAGAAATGCCACTTGCAAAGCAGACTGCACCGCGTGTGCTCAACCACAAGAGGGCGATGCGGCAGCTCGTTCACATTTCAACCTCAGAATCTTGAGTATTTATACTGGAGGAATCCGATGAGCTATGAAGCTCATTTTCACAGATGTCCAGTAGGGGCACGGGATAAGAACGTTACAACAACAAACAATGCGAAAACCACGATGGTAGTGCAAAGTACAGGAAAGGTAAATAAATTGTCCAAACACATACAAATACAACATTAAACCATCCCCATCCTACCAGGCGAAGTTTATTGAGGTATTCACTTATTTTTCTGAAGCAACCTGGCCACAAATAATAGCTCAACAAAGTCGTTCATCATATAGAAAATTATAACAGCAAAATAATATAAATAACCGAAGGCCATTGTGACAGATACAAAAATGCTTTCCAACTAAGATCGAGAGCGTTGATGCACGTGCGCTTTCTGTACCGGGCGGTGGGGGGTGCACTAAGTCTATAGATGGTCCAGTAGGAACAGGTCTGTAGTACTGTACTGTGTAAAGTTGTCACTGTGAACAACTTGGACCGATTGAAAAGAAGCCAAATTGATCAAAGGGTTGCCCAAAACTAACATTCCAAACCGTTGGGAAAAAAAAGATAATTTTTAAAAATGCGAATGTGCTTTTTTGCCCTGATAGCTAACCCAGTAAGCATTCAACATTTGGGCCAACGTTGACATGTGGTTGGAACCATTAGACCAACTTTAGACCAACGTTATTCGTTTACTGGGTAGCCGTCAGCTCCTTATACGGCTAATATAAACTTCCGAGAACATGCACAAGTTGGAAAGCGTTATATTATCCATAAGAGGTTTTTTTGGTTAGATCGCGTAAACATAAATGTGTCGTTAAAACCCGCCACCACCCGACAGCCAATTAGTAAGGTTTATCACGAACAAAACATGCCAATTCGTTACCAGTACAGCACATCGGTGCACCAGTGTGTTGGAGATTAAATCCACAACATTTACAATTCGAGTACGATGTTTCGCCAGTAATTACAACTAGCATCATCAGGCGACAGCCAGACTTGTGGAGAAATCCTGAATAATATTGGTCGCGAAAGCCTACGTGCTAAACCGGCGTTATATAACTTGTTCAGTTTATATTTGGACTGAAGCCGCAACACAATGTCCAGCTGTTGTGAATTATGTCACAGGATCTTTTGATATGTTCATTGCAATAGTGCCAGGAATCCACAAGGATCGAATCATCGGCTCTAAAATGTAGCTAAACTGTACAGGAGTGATCATACCAACCACGAGGACTAGACTCGTTATCAGCTTTGATCAATCCACGATCTGGATAAAAGCTTATCTCGTACTGCCAGCATCCCTAACACGGCAATTCCATACAAATATAAAATTATTGGAAATTAGATCAAACTTTTTTAATATAGCCTCGCTTTGGTTATAGTGACTTGTAACGTGGCCACCCTGATTAACGCTGCGGGTGGAACACATTCCTACGGAGGGAGCTGGTAGGAACGTTGGGTTGCTCAGTCAATGGCCAGGGTCAACGGCGGCGTGGTGTATTCCGCAAATATGTCCGACTGTAAGGGCGGGCACAAGCCGGCGTGAGTAGGTTAAACGTTGAGTTTTATAAGGGCACCACGGGGTGACCATCCCCTCCCCACCCAGCCCCACCCCTCCCAACCCCCACGACGGACGGACGGACACAATAATCCCCTGTGGGCTGGTGGAACCAGGTGGTTCCTACCAGTATTAACCGTCAAAATATACCCCGTCTGCTTCACAGTGAATGTTAAAGACCCTGTGATGTAATTCGCAAGAGCCGGCTTTGTGTGCCACCGTCACGGTCCAAATTTTAACAATTTGAATAATTCAATTACTCAATTGGGATTGTACATTGGCCCCTGCTGTGAAAACTGCGACAACTGTTGGCAGAAACCCGTGCAATTGTGAACAAGGATAGTCGTAACAATAAATAGAGTGACTGACTCAAAATCGGAAGGTTCACTATTCAAAGTCCATTCGCTTTTGGGCGACTGAACTTAGTACTGCGTTTTCTTAGTTATTTCGGTAAAGTCACGTAGAATGGAAATAATAAAAAAACATAATAAAAACAACTATTCTATAATATTCTATTAATTTATTATATTATTTTATTATGTTTTATTTTTATTATCTTATTATTTCCATTCTACGTGACTTTACCGAAAGAACCAAGAAGATGAATCCCTGCAGTCACGAAAGCTTTAAATCGAAAATTAGTACTGCGTTGTTTGAAGTCACCAGTGTTAAGTCACCTTAGGAATGTGGAATATCCGCCATTGATTTCTGGCCACCAACAGAGATGAGAACAAGGATACACTTGACTTTTAATAAGTGGATTGGAAGCTTTAGTGACTGCAAGGATTCATACTCTTAGGTTTTTTCGGTAAAGTCACGTCGGTAAAAAAAATGCAATGAAATAAAAGAATAATAAATGATTTCATTTAGTTATTTTCGTGTATTATTTTATTTCATTATTATTTTTACCTACGTGACTTTACCGACAAAACCTAAGAGTATTTTAATAAGTAGTTGGTCTGTGTCCATACGACTAATTCTCAGCACACCTGTGTCACTCGGTATTGGAATACAAAACATTGTCAATCCACTGCTGGATGAGGGTCTACCTACACCGTTCATGTTGTGGTGTTTACTTGATCGCAGTTAACGATTATGGTAAAATGTGGTTGTCGAATGTAGAAAACCATAGATGTAGGGAGCATATAAATACACTCAAAGAATGGATGACTCCACACTGCTCTCTACTGGTCACCAAAAGGCCCTAGAGGCCTCTTAGAATATGTTTATGCAAGCGAAACACAGTCAGTGCTGCTATAACGCCGCGTGCTTTCATCACGCGAATTTGGATGTAACGTGATGAAAATGTATCGTGGAACACATTTTTTTTTATAACGCGGATGCGAATTGGATATAACGCTATTGAGTGAACAGACTACGTCGTGCGAGTAGGAGTAAGCGGTTGTACTGTTGGCTCGTCGTCACATCATCGCTGCTGGATGCTTCTAGATGCTGCACATGCGCCTCGGTCTTTGTTCAGCCTGCAAACACATCTTACGTGTTATCGCGGACTGTGCTTTACGTAACCCCATATAATTTATTATGCCATTATGCGGTGTTCTTCAGGAACGCAACGACTACCGCGTTATAGTAGAACAGACTGCATAAAAGTGCACCCCTTCGATAATCTGCTCATGCCACTGCTGCCCCGCTTAGCAGACGTTATTTTGGTCTACTCTGTTTTCAGAGGTCTTGGAAGAGCTGGGGAGTAACCCTCACTTTACCCCACCATTCGCGACTTTCTGATTAACTGTGGGTCTTCCCATTTATATTTGTGGTTTGACAGAGGGGGGGGGGGTTAAGAAACGTGCCGGCATTGTTTCAATTGCCGCACCGGGAAATCAAACGGGCGACTCCTGGATTGGATTCCAACCAATGCATCACGACACAATTTCCCGCACCTCCCATTAGCACGGTTGGCTACGTACGGTGCGAAATAGGTGAAATATACACACTTACATCCCATACAAAACAACAGCAAGCACGAAAACATCAGTGGGCTAAAATGGGACACTCAAAAGCAGTAAAGCAAACAACATACATCCCAAAAAAAACCGTATGCACAA